TCAAGATTATTCTTCAATACTAAGCCAAGATGTTTATGTTTAGTAACGTAGGGTATGGGAGTGTTACTGATGCTGATAACAGGCATTGTAGCAGTCTGAAGTCCTTTATGACTAGAGAAAAGCATAGCTATACATTTATCTATATTCAAATGAGGCTTCCAAGCCACTGACCAATTATAGATGATGACTAAGTCCTTATTTATTTGACCCACAGCCTTGGATAAGTCATTTCTTTTTGTAATGCAATACAGAGATACATCATCAGCAAAGAGTTTCATTGTGGAGTTGATGTTATCAGCGATATCATCAATAAATATTAAAAACAACAATGACTCCAGGACCGAGCCTGGGGCACCCCTCGATTAATTCTCCTCGCCGATGATGTAACACCCTGCACTGTAGTTACAATCTCCCGCTTAGCCAGGTAACTGGCAAACCAGTTAATGAGCGATTGAGGAATTCCCTTAGCTTTCAGTTTTACTAGCAAGCCCTTATGCCATACACTATCAAAAGCCTTGCTGAAATCAAGGAACGCAGCCAACACAGGTTCGTTTTGGTCGAAAGCTATCAGCATCTCATGTGTTATGGATACTAATTGATTAATGGTAGAATCATTCTTCTGATACCCAGACTGGTTTTTATTCAGAAGTCCGTAATTCACGAGATACCCATGCACTTTTCGATATACAATACGTTCTAAAATTTTTGATAAAATCGGAAGTAAAGTAATTGGTCTGTAATTACTTGGACTGTGACAGTCACCAGATTTAAATATCACAGTAACATATCCAAGTTTCCAAGACTTCGGAAACTGTTCACTTATTAGCGACTCATTAAACAAATAAGTAATAATTGGTGTGACTATTCATCAGCTTCTTTCAATATTCTACCAGAGAGACTAGGTGCAGTTGCCTTACTGCAATCAATTCTCTTTAATAATTCAAAGACTTCGGACTCATAAATGTCGAATGTCACACGCGTGTAGTGAAGATTTTCGAATAAGGATAGGGTCATCATTCAGTTCACTTGTTGGCATTGTACAAATGTTAGCAAAATGTTTATTTAGTAATTCTGCCTTTCCAGGCGTCTCAGATATAAATTCATCATTTATTTCATCTAAAAGAGGTGGAAAAGTGCTGTTTTGTTTATTTAACGTATTTTTAACCATATGCCACCATAGTTTACTAGATGTATTCATTTCATTTGACATTCGCCTAAAATAATCTTTCTTTGCTTTTTTACATTCATTTTCAAACTGTTTAGAAATGTCTTTGTAGTTTTTTGTTGTCGTCGGTGTTCTATGACGACAATCATGAAGAGATAACGTTTATCCCCACTTAGCTCCCTCAATTTATCATTAAATTATGGTGTATCGTTTGATTTAATAGTTATATTTTTATATGGGATGACTGTATTAGCCACTTGCATAATCATTTTCTCAACAATCAGCACACTGTCATCCAGACACATGCCACCAATAAGGGAAAACCAGTTAACAGCAGAAAGTTCAGACCTAAAAATATCCCAATCCGTAGCTCGATAATCATAAATACATCGCGAGAATTCAGTGATAGGGCTCTTTGAAAAACAAAACTTAATTTGAACAATATTATGATCACATTTCATAGAAAGAGGTGGCAAAATTTCTATTTTATGTATACTATGAACATGATCAACAAAAACAAGATCTAGACATGTCAGGGATTTCGGTCTAGTTGGTTTATCAACTAGCTGATATAGCTGAACATCAGCAGTAAAATCGTAGAGATACTTCCCCTCTGCCGTTGATGGCTTGGTATTACACCATTGCTGGCAGTGACCGTTGAAGTCCCCCATAATTACTATGTCTGTGTGCTTATACTGAGATTTTGTACGTGTGTCCAACAAGCCACTCTCTAAGTGACCTGTCATATCTGCAATGTTGACCCAGTCAGGCCGATAGCATAGTGAAAGAAAAATCGTTTTTAAAGTGGAAATTTTCACTGAACAAAACAACGATTCAATTTTAGAATTTTCTAGCTCTGTAAGATGCTTAACGGGTATGTTATTACGTACATAGATTAATAGTCCTCCGCCCCTCATCCCTAGTCGGTCTTTCCTTAATGGGGGTTGATAACCGGTTACCAACAGATTAGAATCTTTATCAGTCATATCAAGCCAAGTCTCAACCACTTCCACTACAGCTGGGCTATGTTGCTCTATCAGTTTGGAAAATAACTCAAATTTTTTTACATTTAAGACGTTAGACAACACACTTTTATTATCATCAGAATCACAATCAGCCATTAAACTTCTAGCATTAATTAACAAAAAGTTTCTCTACTTCTCTGATTCTGTTCATATGGTTGTTTAACCATATTCTTTAAAGATTTTAAAGCACACACATTCTGCAGCATCACCACACAGCACAACAATCGAGAAGAAATATAGAGAAAAAGAAAAGAAATTTTTATACATGATCGCATTTAATGCTCATACACAGTAATGTATTTAGATGACTAGGCAATAAACAACAAAATAAGAAAGTAACTTCTTCAAAAATATTGCCTTCATCTCCGATTTAAAAATAGTTGATGCATTTGGCGGCAGGTAGCGATGAAGGATTTTTGCTATCGGTCAAAAACTAAAATTTTTCAAGGTCATGTAATATTTGAATGACGCCGAACTACATTTCTAGATTCAATTTTCCATGTAGAATAAGGATAAAAAGCTTTCAAAGCTCGAAAAATCATTGGGTTAGAGATATGCGCTCGTTTATTACCATTAGGCCGTTTTTCCAAGTTTTAAAAATTTATGGTTTTTGAAAGTTTCATCCTCAAAAAGTTTTTTCGGAACGTTAAAACACATATTGATCCAGCACAACGAGCTCAGGTATCACTAAGGCTTCTGTTTACCAGACGTTATACTAAACGTTCACTTTCTTTGTGATGCCCTTACTTATGCAAAATAAATTTGAGCTTGAACTCTATCCAACCATGTATAAATATCGCAAAAATATATTTTGCTGACATTTTGAATCTTCAGCGCCTTACGTCGCCAAAGAAAACTTAATTCTTTGATTTTATTCAACTACTTAGAGAAATATGAAAACTCCAGTTCGTCATTAAAAATTTCTCAAAAATCTTTCTTCTATCTATAATTAAGTTTTCTTACACTACAACGAACTGAATGAAAATTTTTCGAGATGAATAAATTCAACCGAAAACTGTGGGACGTGATTGAAATCGACAGTTGAGATTTTTCTCGAAACATTTTGTCACATTTTGCCCAAAAATGGGACGAAAGAAGGAAGAAATAAAAATCCTCCCAAAAAAACATAATCTCTGTCGACATAAAAATGACTTTGCATACCAAATATTTTGTTGAAATAAGTTTCATCTCGTAAACTTTCAGCTTTTTGAATTGTTCTTCTTCCACTCACTCTCACTACAATCGCTTTCTCTTGCGGATGAGAAGTGCAAAATCTATTCTGTTTTGTTGATCTTAAGAAACATCACAATAAAAAGAAGTTGTTCAGTTTGTTCAGATTTCAGTTTGTGTACGAACACTGTAAAAAATAGTCGTAGATTAATAAACTATCAAAAAGGGTTTATTGAGACCAATAAACCTTTTAAAGGTTCTTTTAGATCCAAAAAACTATAATGCGTTCGTGACAGATCTAAAATAAAAAACGGGCGGTTTTTTATTTTGCATCTGTTACGAACGCTTTTTAGTTTTTTGGATTTAAAAAACCGAAAAGCGTTTTTTAAAAGGTTTATTAGTCTCAATAAACCCTTTTTGATAGTTTATTAATCTACGACTATTTTTTACAGTGAAGTTGATCTTATCGCCGATGAGAACTCAAGCTATTTTGTTGAAGGTTAGAGCGTCGACTCAGAATGTCTACGTTTAGTCTGGTTGTTCATTTTCCCATCATCTCTTTAATCCATGGAAATTTCAACACTTGAATTTTGAAAAGTAACTAAAAACACTATGCTGCATTGCAAAATGGCGACAGTATTCAAGGAAGCATTTATTGTGTTTACATAATGCCATCGATTTCCTAAACATTTTGTTTTTATCTTCCTTTTTTTTTGGTTTACTAACAAGTTTTTATAGTTCTACATAACTCCCTGTAGTTATAAATCTTATTGCCTGTTTTACAGTTATTAAAGTTTGAGAGTTCTTCGACATTGATGATCATCTTGATTTTCCATCTTTTTCATTTTCAATTTTTTTCTTTTTATTTATAATTGTAATTTTTGCTTTCAACGTGAAGGAAAAAATGAGTTTTGAACATCACAGCTACTCGAAAGAACGCTGATCCAGTCCAGTCCTAAACCTGACAGTTGAATCCATAGTTCATTGAACTGTGCAATTGTTTCCTAACTATGAAAATGATTTATTAACTTAAGTAGAATTAGCTATCAGACGTCGGAAAACTACTAGTGACCATATTTGTTTTTTTTGTGTCATAAAAAGAAGTTTCTTTACTACAATCCTGAGTAATTTTATTCTAAAACTCTAAATGAGCAATTAGAAGAAAAAAAATTGGAACGAACTAAGAGGGAAAAAAACTCGGAATGAACTAGAAGACACGTATCATTTGATCGATGAAGTTATTTTTTTTCTTCAGATATACTGATATAATGAAAAGAATGTTATGAACGTTTTCTGTATTTACAATTGACCACCTTTCGGTAATAAATAATAAAATACAGTGCTATCTTGTCTAGAGCACAGACATTACTTTACAAATATCAAACTTGGTATTGACAATTTTGTCAACGCTATATTCCATTTGATACTTTTCAACTTTGATAGTTCTTCTGGATTTAAATATTAATCAAAGCAGTGATCGATGAGAATTTCTCAGTTATAGGTCTACAGTTCTGAAAGCAGTTCGGTTCATACAGAATTGCGTTATACATCGTATATTTCAGCAAAATTCTAACTTCTTGTTAATATATTTAAAAAAAATAAAATTAGACAGCAAGCGCTTTTCTACATTGATGCATAATTTATAATACTAATTCATTTTTACGTGTCCAACTTTGATCTTTAGCTAGTTGAATTGTTTTATTTAATTGTGTGTACCAAAAATTGTACTCAGTCATTTGTCTAAATCTAATGTAAACACGCATCAATTTTAATGATGATGTTGAACGATGTTGATTCATTTTGAGACTTTTTTTTGATAATAATAAACGAATTTGACCACCTAAAGAACAAAATGACGTTTAATGAATTGTAGAAGCATAATAAACTAGATTAAGTTTCTCACTATGCTAACACAATTTCCTTGAGTATGATCACAGAGATCATCACTTAAAAACTTCTGGATTAGTTCAGAGAAAAGAAGTTTATGATAAGATATATTTTTCTCTACCTCCATCTATTTGATCACATTCTAGTTTAATAACATTTTCCAAAGAAATTGTACTTGATGACGATGTACCATTATTATCAATCTGGATAAAACGTAACATATTGTCATATAATTCAAGTAAATTCTATAAAGACAAAAAGAAAAATATATTTATTATATCACAGTCATAGTTTATAGTTGTCAACTTACCATTGACCATGGTTCTTTGTTTACACGTTGTAATACGGCTGATGATGATCGGACAAATTTATTTTCGTTTGTTTGAAGAGTAGAATCCTATAAGTTTTAAATATACAAATCAATAAATCTTTATTTTGAATACACATTCTTACCTGATCAGTTGTTTGATATTCTGTTTGTGTATAAATTGTTGAATTATTATTAAATGATAAAATTTGAGATGCTTGTGCTGCTAATAATTTTATAACTAAAAAATAAATGATATCAGTTATAAGACTAAATGTCTTATAAACAGAAAATGGATGCATCTACAAACCTTCTAAACAATGTATGTCAATATCATTATTTTTATTATCACTCTTTATGAACAGACGATGTAAAAGATAATTCATTTGATACAAATGTTCTAATGGTAATTTAATAAATTGTTCAATTGAATGAAATACATAATTAATTGATAACTAAAATAAATACAAATTTATAATCATTTAGTTTTTTTTAGTCTTTCACAATAATAAGTTGAATTCAGATGAGAAAAAAGTTTTTATACTGATCTTTTAGGAATATAACTAACAGAAGTGAAACTCAGCGATATAACAATTAAAATAACGTTCCACTAAGATAAGTAGATTATTTTATTTTTTGTGAAAAATTAGAAACTGTTATTTAAATGAATGGTACAATACTTTCTCAATGAAGTATCTCACCATCTTTCCACAACTATCTGATATCTTTTCTGTTTTTCTGACAACTAAGAAATAGCCAATCATCGGCTAGTTATGTAAAACTCAATACATGGATCGAGAGAATCGAATTTTCTATTACATCCATTTTATAATAGAGAAAATCTTCTTACAATTAATCAGGATGTCGGCTTGGCCACGTAACGCTACTACCGCACTGTAAATTCCGTTACGTATTTTTTGTATTTTGCTTCTTCTGTAATTCTGGAATGAGGACATTCTGTATGAAGATCTGTGAGGTGTGTAGCACCCTGACATAGTTGCCTAATGTTTCATTTAAAGAAGAGGCTCTTTTGAGAAACTGAGCAGTGGTAGCTAATATTAACGACTGCCTTCTGTTCGAAGTTTGCAAGTTAAACCTAACCTATAGCATGGAAAATTAGGTTCTTTTCTTTTTTTTATCCGAAGTCCTTTTCAGTCAAACTGATCCCTGCTTCTTTGACAATTTCTCAAACAGTTCGATGTTGATAAGACATTTCTGACTTTTCTTCGAAATTTTTTCACACGTTATGTTATCACATCAGAATGGGTTGAAAACAGAAATAAGTTAGGTTACAGTGTAGAAACATTTTTGTAGATTCAGGTACAAGTTGCCAAAATGTTCTAACCTACACACCTCTACAACCAATAAAAAATATTGTTGATGAGAAAAATTACATTCTTTCTTAAACAGACGTTTTTTTTAATATATCTACTCTTCTAACTGATTTTATCTACAACAACTTTGATCTTATATGACACAATAGACTGATGTAGTTTCACTGATATTGTAATCGTTAAAATAATTCTTCATCTCTTAGACTTGAACAAAAGCTTAAAGAAATAACGAGAATAGAGGCAGGTGGAGACATTTTTATATCACATTGTATCTAATCTGTGGTGTTAAAGAAAACAACGAGCTATATGAATAAAAAAAAATATCGACGTGTTGATTTTTCTAACATTTCATTCATTATCGATAATTGTATCTCTGGCCTATATGCGTGTATTACACTAATAGAAAATTTCATGTATTATTTAGTTTCAATTTTGAGTTCATTAACAATAACGATTATATTCATGAATAAATATGAAATGAACTCTCGTGCTTATATTTAGATTGAGATGATTGAATTTTATTTCTTATGGCTTACTTGTAAAACATTGGATATTTTCTTTTGAAATTTTTCAAGTGTTGCATATGCTTGTGAAAAATGGTGAATATACGAACGATATGAATCATTCAATATGTTTAACTAAATTAATAATGAAAATGTGAAGTGATAGTGATAGGAGATAGAAAATGGTTATGAGACACTTACCCATGATTTATAGACTGTCGAGATAGAAATAGATTCAGTATTACTGAGTAATTTTTCGCAATGACGTACAAGAGATTCGGTAATAGCTGAGATCTAGTGAATAAATCGATAAATAATTTCTACTAGATTATTCAAGTTCTTGACAAATTACTTACTTTTTCAATATTTTGAAATAAATCGAGTATTTGTTGTTGTGATAAATAACGTCGAAGTGGTCGAGAATATTTTGTGATATTTTCTTTCAATTGCTCATAATACATTTGTTCAAAGTACAATATATGTTCTAAGATATTTTCTGATGCAATTGTTGTATCGTTATCATAAGTCTACGCATAAGAAAAAGACAGAAAATATAGAGCTATTAAAATCTTTTTGGTATAGATGAAATGATTCTACTTTCACAGTAAAAATATCGATAATACCGACAAAGATGGGTTGTATATATTCTGAGTTTTAACCAGTGGTGAGTCCAGAAAAATTTTCGGTGGATGGCGAATTTTGAGAAAAGAGCAAGTTTAACAACTTTGCTTAGGAGTTTCTAGACGACACGATTTTTACTTCTTTTACTTTATTACTATGTTGCACAAGAAGGAGAGTATAATAGTATGAAATCAAAAATTTCGGTGCTGGCGGCTGCCAGCACCTTAAATCCGCCACTAGTTTTAACAACTTTAGTTTATTGTTCAATTCAATCTTACCGTCGTTTCTGAAAATCCACTATCCACGTATTTAATTGGCATTGTCTCTGACGAGTCAATCGTTGATATTGTGGGAATCATTGAATAATAAGACGAATGATTCGAATCAGTGCATAATGAATAATTTGTTCGACGCGCATAATCATTATTCGATGATGACGATGTCAAATCATTTGTTGCTCTCTCTTTTATCCTTTTATCAATTTGATGTTTTTTTATCGATTTCTAAACGATATATTAAACAGAAAGACGTATAAAATGGTGTTTTTACAGAAACAATTCTATTGTTTATGAAATCAATCACAGAAGTAAAACAATGTTTCTGATCATGATGTGGTTGGAAGAACAAATTAAATCCATTGAGTTGAATGAGAAAAAAAACAAATTATTTCTCATGAAAAGATTCTTTGACGTTTTTGCCTGATTTTTTTTCAACGCTTTTTCTTGTTTTATAGTTCTTCTCTTGCTGCAAACTGTATAATAAGAGGAAAATAGTTTTCAAGACGGATCTCCACTGCGTAAAAAGAAAATATAAAACAAAAGATAGATTGGTTTCTTGTCCCAATTAGAATGATATTGGAGTTTAAAAGGCACAAGACATACTATGCTAATAAACTATGCTTCTACAACAAAGTCTATCTGTAAAAATTTGAACGTTCTCATCCATGTTATTATATATGCTGAAACACTTACACGTTTTCGACTAAGAATATTTGTACCACAAAGCTTCATATTTTCTATATTTGTGTTCGTTGAATAGTTTTTAATTATTACTACTTAGTACGATAAACTGTACACGGTTTTTTTCTTTCTATTCGCGTCGTTTTCTAATCGTTGAAGTATGATATAGAACAATTAATAGCTGCATATTTAAAAGATAAAAATATAATGTACTTTTAGTACGAGAAAACAACAATTGGATGAAAAAAAAATCAGTTCATCTAGTATACACCAATAAGAAATTTATAACCATATTATGCGAAATGAAGAAAAAAAAGGTTCATTGACTAACTGAAAATGAATGTGATGAGTTGCTTCCAAGACGGGAAGATATTTTTCAGACTGTGTCATTATTTGAACAAGATAGGAGAGATTATACTTTGGAAGATATTTCTATAGTCGATTCCTCTAAACATCAACAAAAAAAATGAGTGACAAACATCGAGGTTGATTGCAGTTCGTCTATAGGAGAAGACTAATTGAAAATACTATTTTAATCTTGAAGTTTTAAAAGAAAAGTATATAAGAGTTTTATAAAGGAAAATAATATTTGCTCAGACAGAAAATCTTATACTGAAACGTGTCATTGATTCTGAATTCGAACAGTTCTATATTGTTTCTAACCTACTATCTAGAGAAAAGTTTCACGTCGGTCAACTCACTCGTACAAACAGAACTGGATACGGCTCGCAAATCCGCCGAACTCCATACATATGTCTACTTTTTCAAAAATATCTGATCTCCAACTAGAAATATTACAACAATTCTAAGTAATCAATAGAAGATGCTGTTGTAGTCTTATCTGCACGACCTTCTAAACAGTATTTAGGGCGACCGCACGTACGTTACTTCTCAAAATTTCTGTATCCATCTGATTCTAAATGTCTCACTTATTCTGCTATTAAAACCAGCTCTTAATTCTCTTTACTCATTAGTATTTGTCACAATATTTCTAATATTGTCCAAATAAAATTAAGTATGATCAAAATCACAGTGATTATTTAGATTTTTATGAAAAAATCATCTTACTGCATTCACTAGATTCTTCTCATCACATCACTGTATACAGTGTACTCTGGATTTTGTTAAATGTATTTGAACTGTAACTGTTTTAACTCTTTAGTGATTTTGTCTTAATTATAACGGTCACTTGTGTTGAAGAAAACGAAGTGTGGAGGATTGTTTAATCAGTTATTGTTTGTGATAATATTTCACACCTATCCAAAGCTCTCTTATATATTTAAAATGAAATCAAGTTAAACAAACGGTACACATACATGCACATGAGTATTACATAAAAGTGCACAAATGTTCAATTCGTTCGACTAACTTTGAACAATATAAAAGAAAATTTCTAATCTATACAGTCAACTTGAGCATTTGCATTTTTAATAGATAATATATGTGATTGTTTAACAACAGAACGTTTTTTCCCATTTTAATGGAGAGAATAATCTTGTCAATTTAACATATTTAAGATCAGACCAACCTAAATTATTCCGGAATAATGATCTTTAACAACAGTAAGCGATAAGTGAATGAGACATATAACAAAAATCTCTTGGCTACCCTATAACTATTAAAAAAAACAGCCGTTGGCTGTCTTTTAGGTGATTCTAGTATACTCTTTATAATAGATCTTGAAAGCCAGAGGTCAAACGATAGGTGTTCAATTGAGTCAAGTGAGAATAAACGAGGGCAGACTAATTGAACAAAAGACTGTTGAGTTGTTTTAAGAAAATAGGTCAAACGACGGAACGATGTTCAACAAAAGTTGACAACTTTTGTTTGGCAATCCAATGTTAAAATAATTTAGAAAAGTTAGTATGATCAAAGAGAATCAAGATGCAAACGTGTCAGTAAACAATGGTTATCTAGACTGTCACATCATCACTACTAATGATGTCAAATATCATTTTGGAAGACATAATTTTGTTAACTCAATTTTAGAAAAAATTCCAGCTGGTCTAATTATAATTTTCTCCGTACACTATGAAACAATCAGTACTCATTGTAGAAGCTGTTTCATATTTTTTTGAAACTGTGTCTAATTTATCAATATTATATGTTAGAATAATCTCATCACATATATAGGTGGAATACAGTTACGTATTAAAAATGTACAATATTTGTTCATAGGAGATGATGTATATAATTAGGAAAAAGTCATAAATCATTTTTGTTTGTTTAATGATGTGTTTAGCACACGAGGATAGAATATTGATAGCAGTCAAATACAAAGTACAAATATAGATGGAATACGAGAGCTAAACTAGAAGAAAAAAGTAATAGCATACTGTCTTTCTGAATTGGATCTCAGGATTATATGTCATATGTGTGTAAAATATGATTTATATTTTACTTTTAATTTGTTTTGATTGTGTTTCGATCCTTTTTGTGTTATGGGCATTCCATGTAACGGTTGCCTTTTATATCTAAGTATTGAAAAGAAGTTGGTTAGGTTTGATATAGTTTAGAATAGTTTTTCGATCTAAAGCACATGATTGAATAGAGAAATGTTTTGAGATCACAATGATGTCATTTTAATTTAACTCTCGCTCATTCTTGAGGGAAAAAAATCGTACTGCGAAAATATAGTTATTTGTAAAATGCGTGCGTGATTCTGTAACGATGATATTTTAACTATTTAAGCGTTAATTTCAGAGCTATAAAAGAAATTTTTTTTCAATCGATAGCCCATGGACTTTTCTACAACATAGCCAGCAAAAGTTTTCACGTAAAGAATGGAGATTAGCTAAGTTTTCGATAACTTTAAATTGTTTCGAAATGCCAGTTCCAGTTTTAGTGATTCCGTAATAAAAACTAAAAAGATATTTTTCTTATAAAACTCGAACCATACATTCAAATTTGGCCGAAATTTTAGAGATTGTCGAGCACATGATTAGACAGATTTGATAAGAATTTAGGCATCTTATGTTTTAAACTGACCGAGAAATTACAGCCAGAAGCGGTAAAACAATTATTTTGGCCGTTTTGGCTTACCCATGTACAGCTTTTCTGTTCTGTGTATGATGTCACATTACCGTATGATAATTTAATTCATTCATGACTTCTTATACACAGGGAAAGCAGATCTAAGCATGAGTCTCACACATTGACGTTTGCCTCTTCATAAGTTCGATCTCATTATTCACTTTGTGTTGAATATCGTTCGATCTTGCCTTCTTTCTCCGTATGTGTATGTGTATGTTATTGCACTTGGATTTCGAAGGTATCAACTACTAAGCTACTAGCAAACAAATATAAATCCCACAATATAAAGTTTTAAACTGGAAGAAAGTTACCTTCTATCCAAAAATTATAGCTCTAATCTCCTTTTTTCATGGTAGACAAGTTATCAAACTAGATAATATTACCCCATGTGTTTCAATACTTCAGACTGTCAGCAATTACAGGAGATAATCAGTACTGATCTTTCGAACGGATACTTAATTGATTTAATCTGACAGTACAGTATTTCGTACAATTCATTAACAACTAATTTTTTTTTCTCTTTTCAAAATACTATCATACATACACACATATTAACAGTAGTACACCTTATCAGTTATGTGGCTGATATTTTTTTAAACGATAATTAGTGTCGAGTACATAAAAGAGTGTGAACAATTTTTTCAGCAATATGCCCATGAGGTATATGAGATCAAGTTTTTGTACAAATGCATTAGGCATATTACGACGACAGAACATTTCTCTAAGGCGGGATTTAATTTCAAAAGATTCGTCCGTTCGTTTCATGAGAAAATGAAATACATAATAGATTGAATAAAAGACAATGTTGAAAATTAATATGTTGTTTTATAAATTATTACATGAATTTAAACATATTATTATTTGTCAATCTATAATGGATAACACTCTACATCAAAGAGTTCACTGTACTTTACTACTGGTAAAAAAATATCAGTTTTAATCTAAAATACTCTGAGTGATGTTCATTTCCGTATACTTTTCTGTTTTTGTACCACTTTCAATATCAAGATGGTCTACCATTCTTAAAGAAAGAAACTCCATATTGTCTATCAGATGTTGTTTATAGATCTACAGTCTTTTCTCGTGCCATTTGTTAGAAGAGATAAGAAAGAATTTTCAAAAAGAAAGTGTTAAAAGTCTATTTTTATATTCAACATATGCCAAGTATCCTCTAATCTACTAACTTTTAGATCAATTAATGATAACTAACTATCTCAAAGTGAGCAAAATCAAAAGAGATAATATCAACAATCAAGGTGAAATATGAAAATACTAGATAAGTGTAGAAAACACTTGACAAAATAGACAAAAAACCCAATAGCAGTACTCTACAAGAGTGGACAGCGAAGGTCGCTGTAATTTCTGTAGATAGATTCAAATCACAGCATCTTTAGAAGTAGTATAGTCATATAAAACATACACGATAAATTGTGCAGTGTCATTTCAAACGTGAACTGCATGTTCATCCACCTAGTTTACAAAACGTTTTGATCCTAAACCTAAGAAGAAATCTTCGAGCTTCGATGAACAAAAATAATATACTTGAAAATTCATGTTTTGTTCTTCTTTTTCTCTATTTGTATAGTTGTACAGTTTGTATTTTCACAATAAAATAGCCGAATGCATGAACGATCTCTTGTAAACGAAAAAGAAAACCGTTTGTCGGCATTAAAATAGGAGATATAGATATATTCATCTTCATATTTCTTTTTTTTAAAATAGGTCTCTTTTGAGGATGAGGAGAGAGAGATTGAAGATGTTTTTCAACACCTTCTGTTCGTGAATATGATTTACATAACATCATATTTTTTCAAAAAAGAAGAGTGTCCTTCTTAAAAACGAACGTATGATGACTAAATATAACATCTACAGAGCTGTTGAACGCACAAACAAGATAAAAGTGTGTGTGAAGTGTTCTCTTGGAACGTTTTTTTCCAGAATGCGCGTGTATTGATAAGCAATCACTTGACAGATCAAGAAATCAAACATTTAAATGACTTTATACTTAAACTTAAAGCTCTAAACAAATGAAATCCATCTTATTGCTGACTACGAGAAGATACATTCACTTTTTGACAATCTGTAAAAAATTCAAGTCTTTTTGTTTAAAAAAAAAAGAAAAAACTTTCATTTAACAAACGGATATTCATTTGTGAATGTTATGGTTCATTTGTCTCTAATTTTTACGAGCACTTGATGTCAAACGATGTACATACTTGAGAGAGAAAAGTTAAATATTCAACACACGTATTACGTGAATCGTGCGCTATTCGATCGAAACTTGATTCGAGTACACTCTTTTTATGAATGTATATTTGTAATATACTCGGTTGTTTTTTTTTATCTTCTCTGCTATCGACCGATTTAACATACACACATACGGAACTTAAATGATCGTAATAAGAGAAGAATTGAGAAGTCAAATTGTCAAGTGCATTATGACGTAAAAAGAAAGAAAAAAAATCACACAAATAAATCAAATTTTATAAACGGGATATGAAAGAGAGTCATCTTCACATATTATGTCGATTTTTCTGAATATCAAAAGACAGTATATACCTTATTCAGGTTAATTACTCTAAGAGATATAAGTACAATATATTCTCATTAAACACCAACCTTTGCTAGCTGAATATCAACGTGTGAAATTATTTCTTAAGTTTATTTTCTATTGACACATTGTATTTTTCTGTATGTCTTTGTTGGAGGGATTGTTGTG